GTACACGCCGCCAGAGGGACCGTTTCTCTCGCAAACACTCGATCGACCTCCCGCCTACATATACAGGGTGTTTGGCCAACCCTGGGAAAAATTGTAATGAGAGATTCTTGAGGCCAAAATAAGACGAAAATCAAGAATACCAATTTGTTGATGGAGGCTTCGTTAAAAAGTTATTAACGTTTAAAGTTCCGCTCGTACTGAATTTTTTTCCCGAAAATGCGCAAGATTTCGGGGTATGTCTATTCATCAAAATTGATTGTAATTGATCCCCACAACCGAAAATAATTTTTTTAGAACCATTTGAAGTTTATTTTCACCGAAAAATTTCACACATATTCGAATTTTTTTCTCGAAAGTGGGTAGGATTTCGGGATTATGTCTATTCACCAAAAATTATTGTAATTGACTCTGCTAGCTGAATATAATTTTTTTAGAACGATTTGAAATTTTTCTTTTCGCCGAATAATTTAGGCACCTGTCGATTTTTCTTAAAAATTCGTTTTTGATTTTTAATAATTTGGTTGACGCCCTACAGAAAAGTTGTCTAATACTTTTTTGTTGGTATCCATGAGCTCTACTTCAGAAAAAAGTTTCATTGAAATATATTCACTATTGTAAGAGTTATGGCTGTTTGACAATTGGACCATTTTTATGGGGTTTTTATTATTTTACGGGGTCTAGAATTAACTTTTCGAATATTTTTAGAATTTCTACATATTCTCCACCAAAATACGTGTTGTTCGCCTTTTGAAACATTAAAATTCCCCAATCCGTTCAGAAGTTATGACATTTTAAAGATTCGCATAGCATTTCTGGTCTCACATTAGATTTTCGGTAAGGAATTTTTTTCTCGAAAATGCGTAGGATTTCGGGAGTATGTGTAATTACAAAAAATGATTGTAATTAACCCCTACATCAGAAAATAATTTTTTTAGAACGATATGAAAATTTTTGCAAGCGGAAGGTTTATTGCGACAAATTTAATTAAATTATTACTATTTTCTTTATGTTTTTTCATTATGTGATACCTTTATTAATAAAAACATACCAATTTTGTTTAATTTAAAACGTAATAAAATTTCTATGCAACATGGGTCCATTTCATTATCTGAAATCCTGTGGCGCAGAGTTAATTAACATTGTTCTTTGGTCAATTTTGCTAAGGACCCACCTTAGTGTCGATGCATTCCGTTTTCTGGTACAAAAGGACGGTGATACTGTCGGGGAGCCGGCATACGCCAGCGATCAGCGCGGAAAGAAAACTTGCGTTCGTACGGGGACGTAAAAGAACTCGATGCACCATATTCGGAAGCGGCACGGTTTCGTAAGGAAAGCTCCACGTCGGCCGATGCCCGTCCAGGAAAGACACACGCTCTTGCGCGCGTATCTTACGGCATACTTTACTTCGACGACGTGATCGTCATTCGCGATTCCTTTGCCCCTTGCTTCCCTTCCCGTTGCAGTCTCTTCGCTATCTTGTACCCCTTCTAACGCAAGATAGCCACCACGGTCGTTCATTCATTCACTGCCACTAGCCATATTCGCGTGCTCGTGTTTATTTCGGTTGAACGTCTCATTGAAAACTGGAACGAAAAATGAACGTTTGTTTGGATTGCGGCTCGAAGGGTTCTGATAGACCGTGATTAATTCCCTGACCAATGCAGTCGAAGTTAATCTGCTCTGGATGCATCATTGCGTTAGTATTTGGAGCATTCGGTAGATACAGTCCCAGACAAAATAATACCACGTGCGTGCTGTATTTAATTTTTCAGAGATAGCGTTTTACTTCTTTTTTTATTTTCGAATTATATTATATAAATGTCACGAGACAAATTTCCCTTTCACTGTTAACGACGCATACAAACAAGTACAGTTATTGACAAAAGTATTTATACACTGCGATGTGATCAGTTTAAACAATAATAATTTTAGTTATAGAAGGCTAGTTGGCTATGAATGAAACATAGGAATGGTAGGAAATTGACTCAGCTTTCAGATAGTATGAATTTTATTATGATTTAAGTAAAAATACAACAGACCAATATAAACAATACTAACTTGCTTATTTTACGGTTATCTGGCAAAAGTTCATCCGTAATATTGAATTATGAATCAGTGTAACGGAAATCTGAATTTTTTTAGTTTCTTGATTTACACCACTTTCGCAATCACTGATACATGTGTATAAATAGATTTTGTATCAAAGTCTTTCGAATCTCGTTGGCCTTGCCACTTGTTATGCAAAAAAGGAATTTGCCGTGTGCATCAAAGATGAAACTTCTTTGTAGCCGTTTGTAGGCAGCCGCAGGTATTTAAGCACTGTGCTTATGACTTTCTGTTAGCCGACCTAAATTTGGAGAGTTTACTGCTGCATCTACTGGGGTCAACGAGTGTCAATGTGATAGATGACGAGCCGTCGTTGCCACGTCGACAATAATTTTGCGATGGTGTCAAAGTGACAGTGAATCCATCGCTGTTGGCATAGAAAAGATACTTAAAAAAAAAATTTGTATTGATATTCAAATGCATTTGTTTGTCGCATAACTTTCTGTTGATGAGCAGTGGTGAATGTAGAAGAGCTGAAGTTAAATGTCTTTCTTAGTTTGTTCTTTCATACATCATTTTACAAAATAATTAAAGAATTGGTTTTCTATTTTTAAAGTTTTCTGAGTTGGTATACAGGGTGTTCGGCCACCCCTTGTCTTGTCTCTTCCATGGGAGATTCTAAAAGCCAAAATAAGACGAAAATCAACAATATCAATTTCTTGATCGAGGCTTCGTTAAAAAGTTATTAAAAAATTAAATTGAAAAATTTCAAGTCGATCTGGAAAAAATATTTTCAGTTGCAGGGGTCAATTACAAGCATTTTTTATCAAAAGACATACCCCCGAAATCCTATGCAGTTTGGAGAAAAAAATTCGAGTAGGTGTTGAAATTTTTCGGTGAAATTAAAAAATTTTAAATCGTTCTGGAAAAAATATTTTCAGTTGCAGGGGTCAATTACAAGCATTTTTTATCAAAAGACATACCCCCGAAATCCTATGCAGTTTGGAGAAAAAAATTCGAGTAGGTGTTGAAATTTTTCGGTGAAATTAAAAAATTTCAAATCGTTCTGGAAAAAATATTATCAGTTGCAGAGGTCAATTACAAGCATTTTTGATCAATAGACATACCTCCGAAATCTTACGCAGTTTGGAGAAAAAAATTCGAGTATATGTTGAAATTTTTCGGTGAAATTAAAAAATTTCAAATCGTTCTGGAAAAAATATTTTCAGTTGCAGGGATCAATTACAAGCATTTTTTATCAAAAGACATACCCCCGAAATCCTACGCAGTTTGGAGAAAAAAATTCGAGTAGGTGTTGAAATTTTTCGGTGAAATTAAAAAATTTTAAATCGTTCTGGAAAAAATATTATCAGTTGCAGAGGTCAATTACAAGCATTTTTGATCAAAAGACATACCCCCGAATTCCTACGCAGTTTGGAGAAAAAAATTCGAGTATATGTTGAAATTTTTCGGTGAAATTAAAAAATTTCAAATCGTTCTGGAAAAAATATTTTCAGTTGCAGGGGTCAATTACAAGCATTTTTGGTCAAAAGACATACCTCCGAAATCCGACGCAGTTTCGAGAAAAAAATTCCTTTCCGAAAATATAATTTCTGGCCAGAAATGTCTGCCCGCATTTTCATGCGAATCTTTAAAACATCATAACTTCCGAACGGATTGGAGGATTTTAATGTTTCAAACGGCAAACAACGCGTATTTTGATGAAGATTGTGTAGAAATTCTAACAATATTGAAGAAGTTGTTCTTTGACCCCGTAAAATGAGAAAAACTCCATAAATATGGTCCAATTTTCAAAGAGCCATAACTCCTACGTTAGTCAATATATTTCAATGAAACTTTTTTCTGAAGTAGAGCTCGTGGGCACCTACAAAAAAGTATTAGACAACTTTTCTATAGTGCGTCAAATGAAATCACTAAAAATGAAAAACAAATTTTTAAGAAAAATCGACAAGTAGGTGCCTAAGTTTTTCGACGAAAAGAAAAAATTTCAAATCGTTCTAAAAAAATTATATTCAGCTAGCAGAGTCAATTACAATAATTTTTGGTGAATAGACATAACCCTGAAATTCTACCCACTTTCGAGAAAAAAATTCGAATAGGTGTCCAAATTTTTCGGCGAAAAGAAAAAATTTCAAATCGTTCTGGAAAAATTATTTTCCGTTGCAGGGTCCAATTATAATCATTTTTGGTCAATAGACATACCCCCAAAATTCTGCGCATTTTCGAGAAAAAAATTCAGTTAGGGCGGAACTTTAAACGTTAATAACTTCTTATCGAAGTCTCCATCAACAAATTGGTATTCTTGATTTTTGTCTTATTTTGGCCTCTAGAATCTGCCATTAAAATTTTTCCCATGTTTGGCCGATCGCCCTGTATTTAAAAACTGTAATCTGTAAAATTAGAGTATTAGTGCTAAATACACTATTATTACGCCACTAAACAAGCATATATCCATACCACTATACAAGTGATCTGTCGTGTTGTACCGCTGTATATGTAGGCAGCTATACAATTGTGTCATTATGCTACTACAACCCGTATATAATTATGCAGCTACATTACGTACTACACTACTATGCAACTATGTATGCAAATGTACAACTACGCTACTATTCAGCTGTATAATTGTTTCGTGCTATTGTAATACTATACCATTATATAATTACATCACTTAAACGGCGCCTAATTATATCACTAACAGCAAGAATATTAAACAGTACGCATAAAGAATATTATATCTTATTTTTCCCTGATATACTTTTCATTAGTTCATTACTTTGAATTATTTTAGAATCGTAAATAACTATCGCTACTATAAAGATTAGATTTAATACGTTCGATTGCATATACTTAGTAATGTGAATGCGGTCGAGCTACTTCGATTATACAGAATTATCTTCCAATTAATGCAATCGTATGCTCGTGTGTTGCAGATGAACGAGAAGACGTGCAGAAGAAAACATTCGCGAAGTGGATAAACTCGCAACTGCTCAAAGTACGTTTTTTACTTTTCAACATACGTATTAAAATTAATCAATATTTCATTCCAAATATTAATGAAATTAACGAAATTCTAAGTATTTTTTCTTGTTTCTGAAAATGAAAAATTGCTCGCTTGTACGTGTTTTTCTTTCGCGATCTATACATTGTACAAATTTGAAATTAACTGTTAAATATAATCTTCTCAGAATCACCACGAACCGATTACCGATTTATTCGTCGACTTACGAGATGGCAATCGTTTACTGTCCCTTTTGGAAGTTCTTACATCGAAAGTTTATGTGAGTACATCGTTATAATTATAAATAAATAATTACGTTATACCGTAGAACATTCGAACGATGCTTTGCGTAAAACGATCAGCACGATTGCTTCTTACGATACGCGTAACACATTCATTTTGCGTTTAATGTAATTTTCAAATCGTTCTGATAGACGTCCTCTTTTTAATCGCCTGTTTGTGCAGTCTTGTTTAGTCTGTATGCCGTGTGTGTACGATACGAGCTCTGCTAATAGAATTCTAAGCAGGTGCGCGTATCGGGTATTACGAATATTTGCATAAGAGTGGCGATTATCTATGCACAGTAGGCGTAAGAGCATTCCGAGCGAAAAGTGTTCCGCGTACTTGAGTCGTTTCATAGGTGTCTTTATTTATCCCGAAGATTCACCCAACATTCTTTTTATATACTGCACGACCTATGCATAATCTTATTTTAGCGATGATTCCAAAAACGTACACGTTACCTTATCCGTGATCAGCGTGTAGACTTTAAAAATTAAGTCAACTCTAAGAATAAGAGGGAAGCAATGTTTCTCAATAGTATTTAATTTATGTTACACTTCGTGTAAATGGTAGTTTATATCATTTCGTCGCTAATAACTCCTTAGATGCAGTCGACGTGATGCTAAACTTTATAAAAGTAAAAATTAACAGTGTTTTTAGCATCAATTTAATTACCACGTTTACAGAAAAGAGAACGTGGTCGAATGAGAGTTCATCATCTGAACAATGTTAACAAAGCATTGCAAATTCTGGAGCAAAATAATGTAAGTCAATGATATCGAGCTTTAAACGGAAGGAACGTAACGTATTGCAACGGAAGTTAATATCCTTTTTGGTGTCGTTTTAGGTGAAGCTTGTAAATATTAGCAGTAACGATATCGTTGACGGTAATCCTAAGCTAACACTTGGATTAGTGTGGAGCATTATTTTACATTGGCAGGTCAGTTTTACGAGCGAAGTTTTTCTGATGATGAAATTTATCAGGAAACGTCGAATAATTTTTCTTTATAAACGTTTCGGTCGTGTAATGCAAAGCCTAAAGAAATTTCTATTAATATAATATATAAGGGCATACTGTGTAAAAAATACTACAGATAAGGTGAATACTATTTAAAACATTTATCCAGGTACATTATCATCTGAAAGACTTAATGACGGAACTGCAACAAACAAATTTGGAAAAAACACTTTTAGCGTGGTGTCGTCAGAATTCGCAGGTAAAATTCTGTTTACCAGGTATAATACCGTGTTATTTGCACGAAAAATGCAACGAAATTTTCTTTCAGCATTACTCTGGCGTTGATATTAAAAACTTTACGACATCCTGGTCGGACGGTTTAGCGTTCAATGCGATTCTTCACAGATGGAAACCGCATCTGTTTGATTTTAACAATATATCGCGAAAACATCCAAACGCCAGACTAGATCATGCGTTTCGCATTGCCCAAGAACAGCTGGGCATCGAACGTCTGTTGGATCCAGAAGGTAAATTAATATTTGAACTATAGAATAAAAATTCACGAGTGTTTTACTTATTGCCCCTTTAATTCCCATCCTTTTTGAGGAAAAATAATAAAAAATAAAGACACACAAATACTGATGGGCCACGTTTGACTTTACATAATATGTAAAATAATATCAATTGATGAACTTGATAGTATACTTCCAGTTAATCCTTCTATTGCAAATAAAAAGATAAATTCTATTGATCGTAAAGTTCAAGGATTTAAGACTGATGTTAATGTATTTAAATGTGAAGTCTATCTAAAGTCTAGGATTGGCTTGAATTTACATGGGTAATCGTTTGTTACAGATGTGAATACATCAGTGCCAGATAAAAAATCGATAATGATGTACGTTATGTGTCTCTTTCAATCGCTACCACATTCCGGGGACGATATAGGCGAAATAGATCTTTCGGTGGCGAGCGATGGTAGTCCGGTTACAACGCCTGGAGCCGAGGTCTATAATATGATTACAGCAATCGTTATTATAAAATACATATGTATTTTCATAGAAAAATGGATTTTCAGAGTACGTTATCTTTCACAAATTTCGGAACACCGACTTCACGACCGATGAGTCTAGCGACGAACGTGTCGGTGGAACTCGGTGGTTATCAAGTTGCTCTCGAGGAAGTGTTGACCTGGCTTCTAGAGGCAGAAGATAAATTGAATCATGCTCCGGAGCCAGGGTCTAGTTTAGAAGTGTTGAAGCAACAATTTCACGAGCACGAAACATTTTTAATGGAGTTATCTGGACATCAGGGCGGGGTTGGTGCTGTATTGGAGGAAGGTGCGAGATTATTAGCAGAAGGAGGTTTGCATAAGGACGAGGAGCACGAAGTACGCGTTCAAATGTCGTTATTAAATTCTCGATGGGAAGGGCTTCGAATGCGTGCAATGGAGAGGCAAACTAAAATTCACGAGGTGTGTTGTATTTGTGTAAATACACTGGTATAATGGGATTAGGCATTGGAGAGCAGTGGTTGAATCGTCTTCTTCCTTTTCGTTGTTAATAATTTTTCATCGATAATGACAGGTTTTAATGCAAATGCAGCAAGGCCAGTTAGACGCGTTGCGGCAGTGGTTAACAGGAACTGAAGATAGAATTTCACTAATGGCAGCCGTTGAATTGAATCCATCTGCCTTGGACGAACAACTGAAACAATTAAGTGAATTGGAGCAAGATATTGAGGCGCAACAAGGAGTTGTTGATGGAATGAGAAATATGGTAGTTGTTGTCGACGAGGAAAATTCAGAGGCAGTTTATGCTCAAATGGAAGATCAATTATCTGCTCTTGATGAACGGTGGACCCATATCTGTCAATGGAAAGAAGAAAGAAGGCAACGTTTGCAGTCTCTTTCTTTGCTTTGGCAAAATATCAACGACGATTACAAGAGATTGATGTCGTGGTTGAACGAAACCGAAATTACGTTAAAACAAATGGAAGCGAATCCGGCATCGGAGATTGGCGAAGTGTTGGAGAGAATAAAGAAATTACAGATTTTGAAGATGGAAATGGATGCGAATCAAAAGAAATTGACGTCCTTGCAAGAATCAGTCCAAGAATTAGAGGGACAAAGTACATCGCCGGAGTGTGTTAATGTATTAGAAAAAATCGAAAATCTCCAAGATCGATGGGAAGCTGTGGGACAAATAATGGAAGTACAAACTCAAAGGGTAATGTGCAAGAGTTGTATATGTACTGCCGCTCGTAAGTGTTTAGGCACTCTCAATAAAAGCATAAATCATATAAAAACTCAGGAAAAATATTTATTTTTTATGTACATCCACATACACATTTATGGAAGTATACTAAATAAATGCGAAAATTAAAACCCTTAATTTAAATTGTTGTCTCATCTGTGTGACCTCCTTTTGATCGAACAATCGCAGCGCACAACCGAGACATTCTCGCAATAAGTTTTACGAGAGTTTCTGAAATTATTGAGGTCCAAGTTGATTGAAACTTGTTCCACATATCATTAGCTGAATACCGCACTACCCGGTCCAGCTCTTCCTACAGTGACTCGATCGGATTCAAGTCCGGGCTCTGAGGAGGCCATTCCATAATTTCAATTGTTCCTTCCTCCTCTAAATGGCGTAAATAGTCTTTACATAATTTAGACGTATGTTTCGGGTCATTATCTTGTTGAAAGATTAAATTTTGATCCAAAAGTCAAATTCCTGAAGGTATTGCGTGGTTCTCCAAAATTTCTCGGTATCCTTTTTTTCTTAAAACAGCCCCAATTCATCACTGAACCACCTCCATGCTTCATGGTAGCGCTAGTACACTCTTCTCTGGCACGTTCGCCCACAGATCTCACGAATATTTGTCTTCGGGTACCGAACACGTCACATTTGGACTCATCCGTCCATAAAACCTTGTTCCAATCTTCTATGGACCAATATTGGCATTCACGCGCCCATTTAAGTCGCTTTTGCTTATTTTGTTTGCGTAGTAATGGTCTTTTGATATACATTTAAGCTTGGCTTCCTGTAGGCGACGTTTCACCGTAGAAACACTAACTGGTTTTGAGCGACCAACATTTAATTCTGCGGTGATTTCCGGGGCTGTATTGCGTCTATTCTTCTTGCTGATGACCACTATTCTCATCTACAGATATTGTCGCTCTTGGTCTTCCACTATGTCTTTTATTTTAAAAAACTGCCATTTTCCCGATACTTTATGACGTTATAGTCGACCTGTCCATGGTTTAATTTCATTTTTTTGGCAATTTTTCGATTACTTATGCCAGCTGTATGGTAAGCTATTATAAGTGCACGTGTTTCAGTACTTGGTTCTCTTCTTGGAGGCATTTTAAATAACTGTCACTCGATATTTCGCTCAAACTACAACTGACCATAGCTTACACATTTTACTACAATCTTTTCATAAGACAGTTTAAACATCATTACCTACAATTTACCCGATTGAAAAATATTCCCGGGAATTCCTACAGATTATTATTATAACTTCATCGTAATAAACACCCGGCCAAGCTCAGGTAGAGGGTAATAAAACTAATCCGATATAATGGGTGTCTATATAATTGAACTGCGTTTTAGATAAATATTTCACTTTATTGTAACGTTTTATGGTAAACATAATTCTGTATCAATAATACATGAAAAGAGGAGTGCCTAAACAGTTACGAGCGGTAGTGTATTCCCATGTATTATTATCCTTTATTTCTGTTTGCATAAGAAATGATTTCATGATATAATTCCACATTAGATAACTAATTCGGGATTCGAATTTGATCTGAAGTCTGAGAGGGAAACAACAGTGATTTCGGGTAATGAATGGATGAGTGAAACAGTAACGAGTATCGCTTATAAAGAAGAAATTTCAGCAACGGTATATTTAGTCATGAAATATTATAGTAATTATTAAATTTCTTATATGACAAGATATATACCTATTATTGTTTCATCTTTTCAGTCTATACCGCATAGTGATTCAAAGAAACGTCGCGTAGATAGCACAGCTAGACACGAATTTGAGTCGGCTCTGAATAATCTTTATAAGTGGCTTGATTATGTTGATTTAGAAATTGGACGTTCCGAAGGAGTATTCGACGAATTAAGCGTTGAAGAAAAGAAAGTAGTGTATAATGATACAGTAGTTGATATAGAGTCACATAAAGACGACTATAACAGAGTTCTGGAATTGGGGAAACAACTTCTTGAAGAGTTAAATAACGCAAACGAATCAACTGACGCGGAAGATTCGAAACTCAAAGATGTACAGAATTGTTGGTTGGCAATAAACAATAGGCTGGAAGAAATAAGAAGTCGTATAGAATATCTGGAGGAAGTAAAAAAGTTTCGAACGGAATTGGCTAGTTTAAATTTAATGTTGGATAGTTACTCCAAATGGTTGGACTCGAATAAAAGAAACAATCAAATCGAACCGTTTAGGGTAATTATTAATATTTTAGCAAACGTATTTTTATAAAGAACTTAGGGGATGCTAATTCAAGTACGATTTATATTATTCAGGTAAAACTGAAATCAATGAAATCTCACGAAGAACGCATGAAAAAATTGATGGAGAAAGCCAAAGAATTATCGGAAAATCAAACTGGTATTAATGAAAGCGGCAATGTAAACGCAGATATACAAACGTTTGTTTCTAGTTGGGAAGCATTATATCAAATGTAAATAATTTTTTAATCTGTGGTATAATTATAATAATTTTATATTTGTTTTACACACATAAATGTTCGAAATGTTATTGTAGGCTGTCTGAAAGGCTAGCTGAATTAAATAAAGCGATTGATAAAACACCACCAAAGAAATATACAGAGGCAGTTGCTAATCTCACCTCCTTTATTAATAACGTAGAAAGTATGTTATTATCGGAACATATAGTAATGTCAGATGACAAAACAATGGCGGAGCAGTTAAAAAAATTCAGTGATCTGCAAGATTCCCTGAAAGAACATCAAGAGATTTTCAATTATGTAAACAGTATTGGGCATGAATTAATAATGAAAACTAACGGAGAGTCTCAGGGGCAAAGACTTAAAGATGAATTACAAGACCTTAATACAAAATGGAGCGACATACCTATAATACTGGAAGAACGTCAACAAAATTTGTTGAAAGGTACTTTTATATGAATGTAATTTAATTGTTTAATTCGAGCGTTTTCAAAGTTAATAAAATATATTTTGTTATTCTCCAGACATGCAGTCTTTGAAATTATTCAATAATGAACTCTCTGATCTCGAATGTTGGCTTGAAAAATCATATCAATATTTAGAGGAACTATCAAAAGACGATGTAAAAAATGACGTCGAAGCTATGGAGTTCAAGTTAAAACAGGTTCAGTCTCTTTGTGAGGACATAAATCAAACAAAACCAAAAATAGAAAGACTTCAAACATCCACGAATAAACTGCTTGAAAATTCTGAACCAAAATTTGCAAATGTATTGAACAGTAAATTAGAAATTATATCACATAAATGGAATGTAATTGTAGACGGTGCTAAAGGTTTAAATGATAAGTACGAAGATACTCTAAAGAAAAACGACGAGGTAAGTGAAAGCGGAAAGTGAAAATAGCTATTATGAATCTGAAACGTGTTTTATATGTTTATCAATGTATCATTTTAAATTACAACAGATAATAAATGGAATAGAAGATTTTACAAAATGGTTATCAGCTCTCGAGAAAGAAATACCGGTTGAAACTAAAATAACATCTTCGGTTGAACTGTTTCAAGTTCGTGGTCGATATCAATTGTTGAAAGAAAAGATTGATAAACGCGTAGAAGAATTTAGAAATCTTAATGAAATGGGCAATGATAAGCTGTTAAGTTCGGAAGGATCCTCGGTTCAAGAACTTGGTAGACGTTTCACATTTTTAAATGCCCGGTGGACTGATGTTACAGATCGTATTTATGAGCGATATAGACATTTACAAAATGCTAGTCATGAATATGGCGAATTTCGTGCTTTGGTTGCACAAGAGAGTGACTGGTTGGATAAGTTAGATAAAAGACTCAAAAGATCAACAGAAACTGCTGCAGATGCCGAAGAAATATCGGAAGAACTTGATGTAAGTGCAGATAATAATAGAAAATAATAATAGAAAACGGGTTGTAAATTTGTAATTAATTAAAAAAAATAATGTTATTATGTCTTAAAAAGGACTTGGAAAATTACATACGAAACCATCCAGAATTAAGGCTTGAAAAAATACAAGAAATTGGTAAACAGTTGATTGACAGTAATATCATGACACAATCCATTCAAACAGATGTAGAGAGCTTGACAAACCGTTGGGAAAGTTTAAATAACCAGGTATGTGAACATTATGTAAATTGTCAATTTATTTATTATACAATCTGTACATTTATGATGCTTGAGACAATGATTTTCTTCTCTAAATATTGTGTGTAACATAAAAAATCATACTTTTTCTTAACTGCATGAACCCACTACTAAAGGAATTTTGAATATTTGTCAAGATAAATATATTAAAAGATGTTATGTTTCAAAGTCATTTTATTCTGCTTTAAAAAATTGTTCTTGCTCTTATGATATTTATATTTATATTATAATCATTTTATATGATTTGTTCTATTGCTTTTACTAAACTGTAACACTACAACAAAAATATAATATAGCTCATATTTGTTTTTCAAAGTAATCTTAGATTATTTAGGAATAAAGTAATTTAATATATTGTTAGGGTTTTTCTCTTTTCGCTTGTTGAGTATTAATACATTATAATATTCATTTTATTGAATATTAAATAACAGTATGTGTAACAGAAAAGCTTTAATAAAGTTATGTAGAAAATTAGAATTATATTTTGAGTAGGCAGGGCAGCGAGCCAAGTTGCTGGAAGGATCAGTGAAGCAAGCACAACAATCAGAAGGACGCATCCTTGCTCTTCAACATTCCTTAACGCAAATAGATTCTGTACTAACTGCACGTCTTGACTGTGACCTTACTGCTGATGATTTGCCTCATGATTATCAGGTCTGTTAGTCACAATTTTGTTACCCTTTTACTAAACGTAAATGAATATATGAAAACGAAAAATTAATATATTTGCTAAATACGATCTATATTAATGAATATTGTATATAAAGCATTGTTATGAAAAAGCATGGCAGAGAGAATGTTGCTATTTCCGCAAAATGTTATTTGTACACTATATCGAATCATTAATTGAAATGAATGATGACACTATAATTTTATGATTTTTATGATTCTAATTAACAAATCAGAATATGATAAGTATAAATTTTATTAAACCCAGAAATTAATGGAAGAAATGGAACACCAACGGTTAACACTTCAAGAAATGGCAATGCAAATTGAGTCATATAAAGCCTCTGGAAAACAAGAAGCTGCACTCAGACTGCAAGAGCAACTGTCTCTTATAGAGCAAAAGTTCTCTGAAGTTCAAAAGAAATTTCAACGTTTTCGTTGTCCAACGAATTTAGAACCAAGATTATCTAGGGCTTTACGAGAACTTAGAGGAATAGAAGAAGCAACTTGTTTATTAGAATTGTCATCAGAAGATCCAGAGGCCATTGAAGGCCAACTTAAACATTGTCTGGTAATATATATTTTATTTCACGGAGCTGCAAATTATAACAAAATTTATGAACGATCATACTTTACAGCGTTTTTATCAAACATTGAGTGAAATTAAAAGTGAAATAGAAAATATTATTGTCACTGGTAGGAAATTAGTTGAAGATAAAAGTGTTCTTGAACCAGAGAAGTTTTCACGAAAAATTGATATGTTGAAGGAATTGTATAATAAGGTATATATGTATATATATTATTATTATAATTATTAATTGTGAATTGCGTATAATTTCATAATAAAACATAGAATGAGTAAATACTTCTTTATTGTAGCTGGGATTGCATATAACTGAATCCAAATCGGCCTTGGAATCTGCGTTGGATTTATCGCGCGATATGTATAAAAATATGTCTTACATTAATATGTCCATAGATAGTATTAACAAAGAATTAGATACACAAAAGAATATGCCAGACCTACCAGTTAATGCGATATATGTACGAGTGAGTATATAAACATAAATTAAAATAATATTTAAATTAACATTATAAGATTATTAAAACGTTCTTTAACACATTATTCGTGAAAATAAATGTTTACAATCGTTTGAGTAGGAAACTTTGACAGAGGTAATCCCAAGATTAAATGCTGTGAAAGATAAGTTATTAAAATCTCAAGAAGAGTTTTCCAAGCTTTGTGACCCTATGTATTTAGATCAACTTAAAGAAAAGTTGTCAGACGTTGTGACTAGATTAGCGAACACGGAAAGAAGATTGAAACTTTGTAATGCCACCGAGGTAAACATTTAAGATGATAAAAATAATTGTACTGGATTAAACAAACGAATGTGTATATTTACAGGAAGAACCTAATGTTGACGAAATAAATGCATGGCTTTTACAAGTCGAAGATAAGTTGAATAAATTAGATACTGTACCAGTTGATCAGTTGACAGAAAATCATTTTGAACAGTGCAAGGTAATGAGATTTTTTAAGTTCTTATGGTCCAGGTACCTAGTGACGATACTATTTGAGGGTATCGAGTATGAGCTGCATCCTTTAGAAAATTTATTACGACGTGTTTGCTCATTTCTAGGATGTTCAAAGCGAAATGATAGAAACAAAACCAAAGGTTAATCAGTTACAACGTTATACGTATTATCCAAAAGTGGCCGAAGTTTGTGACAAGTGGGAAGAAATATCCAATAGAATACAAGTACGTACATTTATGTAATAAGTTTGAATATCATCATCCATTGCTTATTTTCTCATGGCTTGTATTGCTTGTTCTTATTTTAACATTTGGTATATGTAATGCTTGTGCTTTATAGTACCATTACGTATATCTCATTTAAAGGAAAACCGTTCGTAATTCATACATATTTAGTTCATATTTTTGCGTTTAATTTTTTAAATTCTTTAGCAGCAAGCAGATTATATTATTAAATCATATTAGAAGTTCTATAGTCGTTTTTGTTGTTAATTGATTGCCAATTTATGATCAAATTAAGTTATCGTGATTTTAATGGCGATATTCTTCAAGATTAATTATTCTGTATTTGCTTTTGAAAACTTTCCCTTAGTTATATATGAATCGATTGTATTGAATTATACAACTTACGTTCGATCACTATTATGTATATAGTTAACACTTCACTGATGTTTATGTGTAAGTTACACTGGTACATATTAGCAAATTATGTGGAATATTTTGTCCAAGAGGTGTCTCTAGCTATGTAAATAATATTGTCATTATTAGTGAAAAACAGATCATCTTTGGTGGATGGAAAACATTGTTATCGATTATTTACGACATTGTCTCTCCCCTTGTATAGAATTTTATAGAGAAGTCTGAATATGATTTCCAAGAAAAGTAATAAGGAATGAATAAAAAAATGTGCTCCAAGTTTTTGTATTGGTGATGGATACACGCAAAGAAAAAGCTTTGTTTGCACAATGAAATGCATTGTCACTTTCATTTGGCCATGCTTGATATTGTCACTATTAACATGCTCTTTCAATTAACTGTTGCCTGTCCATGAATTTTCTGTTACCTATCATATTTTCACAGGAATGGATCCACAAAATCACAGACAATTTATTAATAAAAACTAAGGTGGGTGAAAGTAAGGGGAGAGACAATTACGGACGCATTAAATCGTCTAGACTGCCGGATCAGACTTCGGTGCAGCTAGTTAAAAAAGAAAATAAATTGATAGATGAGAATGAGGAAGTATATGGAATAGGATATCTTAATCCTGCATTTGATGATAATCAAAGTAATGTTATGGGTACACCTGAAAGCTCGCCAATTGATATTGTTCATCGAAGTCGAAAGTCGCTTGTAAAGTCGGAAAAAATAAAAACCAAAATCGTAGATGTTAGTAGAACCGTTAGACGGAAGTTAGACATGAGCTCTATACCTGATGTAGTTCAAACCTCCCAGCCGCAAGTTGTTCATATCGACGATGATTTGCCTTCGTCATCCCCCGACACAGATGCATCCATGGCTGACGAAGAATTCTTCTTAACAAAAAATAGCTCCTTGTTCTTTCAAGTTTCTTCTAATACGTTGGTTACAACAGAATCGAAACTATATAACCCATATAGTATGCAAACGAATCCTTTTCGTATCGTAGAAGTGAAAGAAATGGAAATAATAAAATCAATTGCATCCCCCGAGGATCACGTAATATTACCAAGTGCGAATGTCAGTGTCGGATTAATGCCACAAGTCGTTGAGAGAGTAGAAATTGTTGAGGATACAGAGACAGAACCAGAATCGGTCGACACTGATTCAGAAGATAAAGAAGTTAGGGGAAAGATTAGTAGTACAATTGGTAGTGGTAATCAAGTCATTAACAAGAAAAGGGAGCTTATTCCGATTTTAAAGAAAAATAAGTCAGTAGATCCACATTCTACAAAAAACATTAAGAAACTATCTCTTAAATTAAATAGTGAAGGTGTTCAGTCAGATCATCAAATTTTAAATAGTAAATCGATGATGATAGAAGACAATACAACACAAATTCCCGAATCCACTCCAGTAAACACACAATTACCTTGTAAAATAAATAGATTTGATAAAACTACAGTTTCTATGTGGAAAGATAAAGATAGTATTGCTGAATATCTTATTCTCGAGGACAGTGGAACAAACTTAAAGAAAAATTCAGGAGGCACTACCACTGGCATTCCTCTTCTCTTACCGATCAGCCACACAAAAACAAGAAAAGAGCACACTAACGATAAATGGTTAACATTCGTAAAAGGCACTGAGTTTTCTAAATCACGTAATGATGAGAACGAAAATCTAGACTATGATAAAAATACGAGATCTTCGTTATTTAAACGTACAAGAAGTATATCAAAGGATGATACCTTAGAAGATTGCGATAGCTTTTACGGAAGCGATAAAGAAACTGATGATATTTTAATATTTTCTGATGACACAGAAATTGATGTTGGAAGTTCCAGTTCAGAAGGGGAAGATCCGAATTTAGGAGAACATGTTGAGCACCTCTTGGGCAAGGTAATTTTAATGGCACCTACCTTGCCATTGTAACATTCATAATGTATGTAACGTGTCATTAATAATATATTTCTACCGATAATCACAACAGTAATAGTTACGATTTCAAATTTTTGTATATACATAATGATAGGTGAAGGTTAACATATACATTAACTAGTTAGCGTGTATAGAAATTTCTCATAATTTTGTTGTATATAGATACAGGCTGAAAGATTATCACAGGAATTGCAGCATAAAGCTGATGTAAGAGTTCCAGTTGATAGGAGAGTTTTTAAAACTATACCGAATTTATCTAGAACTGGTTTGGAAAAATGTATTTTGGAATTCGAACAATCTGCTCAACTGATGTTGCACAGGATGGATGTTATGTTAATGAGCATCAGTGGTATTAGTAATGAAAAGGATCCTACTAAGCGTTTGGAGGTGTGTGAGCATTTTAATTCTTTGAAATAAATGCAAGGGTAGCGTTGGTTTTATGCAGGATTTATTATATACTTTATACTTTAGGTACTGGAGGAAGAAGTTAGTACTCTTGCTCCAGATGCAGCAGCTCTGATCAGCAAAGGTGATGGTTTAGTTATGACAGTGGATATGTCTGATCCTGTTAGGGCTGAAAAGATAAAAAATGAACATCAGGATAAATTAAGGAGTAAATGGCATCAAGTGATGTCAGAGATTGAAACTAGGCGAATACAAGCACAACGGGGCGAAGAAATTTTACGACAGTATAACAACATAATAGCAGAATTTGAAGATTGGTTCAGAGACGTGCCATTAAAACTTGAACAAGTCAATAATTACGAAGGACACTTAGAATCGTTTACAGAAGAATTTGACGCTAAACAAGAGCAAATTCATAAATTGAATGATCTGTCTATTGAATTAAAAAGACTGAATGTTGGATACTCCGAAACTGTGCGTTATAATATTAATAGCAGGTGGCAAGAAGTTAGTTCACAATTTAAAAGATATAGTGGAAGCAAGGATAAGGATAAACACGTGACCGACAAAAAAGTTGAAGTGGTGTGTAAAAATATAAACTTTTAATATTCCGTACTATAAACAATCTCATTAGGGATTTAAAATTCTAATTCTATGATTTTAGGACGTGGGCGGAATTGACTTGCAAGAATTTACTACAAGAGTGAACAAGATCAGAGAAGCAGTCGTGACTGTGACGAGATCTCTGAATTCAGTACCATTAAATGGCGATGACTATGAAATGTTTGGAAACCAAGAGGAATGTTTGAAAAAAATTAGTAATGCTTTAAACATTCTTAAACCCAGTATCGAAGAAATTAATTCGGTGTTTGAAAGCGTTGCTTCTCAATTAAGAAGAGAACAAGCCGAACAAATTAGACGCTTGGGTGATAAATTACGAGAGGAATGGATGAATGTTAATCAGAGTTATGTAGAAAGGTATAATCGTTGGAATAAATGTTACGAAAAGTGGAAAGAACTTTATCATACGTGTCGGACTTTCTCTGACTGGCTGGATAAAATGGAAGAGACATTGAAAAAACTGAATTCTCTTGGTTACTCTAAAACATCAAAGACAAAAGTATTTGAATTGGAACAAGAAATGTCTAGAATGCAGAAAATTAAGAATAATATTAATGTATCGAGTGCTAGTATTTTATCTCGTGCTAAAGCTGAAGACATGGTCGAGCTAAAGGAAACGATCAACACCATAAAGCGTCGCTGGCAAAATATCGTAGTCGACTTAAATGCAAGGAAAGAAAAGTATGTACTAATTTTTATTGATTATAGTTTAGTATTTAAGTCGTAAACAATTTTCTACCATCGTATATTCTAACATTGAGAATGGCAGATCAAAGATTTTGATAGACACGTTACACCGAAAGTAACGCTCTTCGTATTGAGCTATTTCAGTTGTGATTTGCCTCTGGTGCTGTAGCGGTCAACGCAGAATAACCTCTAATCTAATAAAGAAACACGAATTAACCCTTTAAAATATAATTAGTTTACATTCGCGGATTCGGTATGAGCAAACGTTCAGATAAATTCTTTTAAGTTACAAGTATCAGTAATATTATTTAATTTCTTCTTTATACTGTATTCAACAAGTGTAATATATATTTAAAGAAATTTTGCTATGGAAAGAAAAGTGAACAACGAAGGAAGAATCTTAGAAAGTGCTTACAATATCTTGGAGCAAATAAATTCCTTGTTGGTATCAGCAGCAAATCCTTCAGACGAGACTTCGTTATCAATAAGATTGTCGTTGATCAAGGTAAGTTGAAGTATTTATAAAACAATTAATTTAATTTTCGGAAACGATCGAACATATCAACATTTGTTAATAAACGTATCAACATTTACTTAAAACAATTTCGACACTTTTTATAATAAACTTTATTTATGATTTCACGGTGTAGTATTTAGTATAATTTTAATTAACAGTATTTTTATACAAATTTATACAGTAATGTTTCTATTAAATTCGTGTACGCGATTAACATTCATGTCTGAACAATACAAATATTATCACTGTAATTTGGATATGTTGCTTATTGTAGTTTATGTGAAATTCTCTATGTACACTTTCTACTATAATGTTTATTCAGAAATTAATTTTCACGGGCCAATGCCCGCCATTGCGTTATTAAATAAACTGATACTGAGCCTAATAATACCTTCACATTTCATGACTGCACACACGAAACTGTGCCAAGACACAAATAGCAATGAACTCTCACTTTTCATTTATTTCCGTATTAAACATAAACAGCGTTGGGTACCAATCGATTAAAATTTTTAATTTGATTAAGCGATTAACGCAAATAATTAAAAAAAATTAATTGTCAAAAAATCGACGTTCGAATTAGTCGATTGATGAAAGTAATCGCCAATCGTTGATTAAAGAAGTTAATCGTTGAAAAAATAACGACAGAATTAATCGATTGTTGAAAATCGATATAATATTGATTGGTCATTCCTACACATACAATTGGATTTCATAACGATTTTAACATGAAATAATTCGTATTTTGTAGGCAAGACAAGAAGAACTTTCTTCCCGTAAAAGATCTTTACAGAATTTAGTTAATCAAAATGGTATACATCCAGGGGAGGATGAATGTACTAAACTCCTTGCTGATATGGACAAGGTATTATTGAATATATTAAACTCGTTTATAGTAGATGGAAATAAGACATCTATTGAATCGCGAAACGACTTAAATGTAATTAAATTATTTGAATTAATATTCTAGGCTAATTCGAGTCTTTCTAATCATCGCGAATATGTTGAAAATAAACTTGCCTCTCTTAAAAAATATATGTGTACTTTGGATGCCGTTATGGTATGGGTTATGGAAACGCGGACGAGAATAAACATATCTCGCGAATTACCTCAACAAGGACGAACCGACGTTATCAATAATGTTATGGTAAGAGTGTAAATATTCATTTGTCACTAGAAGAGTGCATTGAAAAAGAAATTATTTAATAATATTATGGTAGATTAAAGTTGAAGATCGTAAAATGGAAGTGAAAGACGTGTTGGAGAATTACACCAATTTGGAGAAAGAATGCGAGTCTGCAAAACAGCCCATTTCTGTAGAATTACACGTAAGTGTACAAAATAAATTTTAATTTAATTTCAATAAGTTTGAAAAGAAACAACATTTTAGGTTATATTTAAAATAGTAATGCATGCTTTAAATTTGATACAGTTTAACGAAATAAAAAAGTTTTCTCTTTTTTAAGAAATTCAAAGATTATAATAAATTTTTTATTCATTGAATTATTCGAATTTTGTTCTGTTCTGCAGTTGTTTAATAGTTTGTTAATTATCTGAAAATCATTCAATTCTTTACAAATATTTTAATATTTATATATTCCGCCATGACGGAGTACCAACCATTTAGACAATAGTTACTCCCATTTTTTCGTTAAGGGAAAGATTGTTTCTAGAAGGTGGCGCCATGAGCGACCAATCATTTTCGAATTGTTGGTCGTATGGATGAACGAACGAAATAGTGTTAACGAATTAGTGATGAATTTTGTGTTTAATTTCATGGCTATACTTGAAATTTGTGTGCGGCAGGAAAAATTGAAGAAGCTGAGGGAAGATTGGCAGTTTGTGAAGAATAGTGGCGAGTCGCAGAGTCATGAAATAAAATCTACGGAACAGGTTACGGTTGCGAGAGAAACAGGTAAGATTCATCTTTTACGCATAAATCATTAACATCGGTATATATTTTCATGAGTCTTCAGGCTTTATAATATTATTTCTATTGTTTGAATGTCCAATTTAAAATTGGGTGTCCAATGCGTTTCAATAGCTTCGAACAATTGTATTTCCTTACGCGGGAAGGAATTTTAATTCGAATGCCCTTCTAGTTTCGGCCACTATCGCTAGGTGGCGCCTTTGTTCTTATTCGTGAAACGTTTCTTCGGGCTTTTTAAGTTTGGACACTTGTGCTCAATTTAAGAAAAATATTTCTTGAAGAGATATTCAAATATTTTCACTTTTATTTCATTTCATATTTATTTTACAACAGCAAAAATATTTTAACTTCCAGTTTCTATGCCCTCAAACATTTATCGTATTTGCAATACTTCTTATTTATTTTTTCGATAAGTCAAATAATTAATTTTGTAATTTATTATGAAACTGTTAAGAAATTACTATTGTAAACTTTTAAGAAATTATACTGTACTAAAGGTAGGTACTGAAAAGAATGTATTTTGTTTTTACGTAAGCGATGAATCTTTCGCAATTGTACGAAAACTGCAGGTGGTTAGAATCGATTCACCCTTAGGAATTCGCTAGAAACGAAGGCTATTCTTACTCCCTCTGAATGTACTTCTTCGGAACCGTCGCAGGATTTTCGAAGGAAGCTTGGCGACTGAACAAGAAATAGTGCGTTTAGTCGTCCTGGTAAGCGAGGCCACATATCACTTCCACTCCATCCTACGGGACGATATATACCCGCCACGTTAAGTGCAGTCTTTTCACCGAATAGCGCTGTCTTTTCTTCTACTTTTGTCCTGGGATCGAACTATGCATTAAGAATTGTCGATGAATTTCGCCGAGTCAGCATACTTTTAATCAAAACTGTTTTTAGGAATATCTGAATACTCTGAATAACAAATGAACATGATTTTACCCACAAGGAATACCAATCATTTCATTAAAAGAATTTTTTAATTTACAAAACAAGTAAAAATCAGACGAGGCATGACCTAGCGAATGCAATGGTTGGGATAGATCAAGCCAATGAAGTTGTAATAATTTTTGTTCTGTAAACATACGAGATCGTACGTTATCGTAGTGGAAAACAACTCTTTTTTTAATTATTAGTAATAGCCTTTTCTTCTGTACGGTTGATTTTAGTTTATTCAGTTGCAAATAGTGGGTTGTTCGAAAAGTAATTTCGTTTTTTTCTTTCGTGAAAAGGAACAATTTTCTTATAATATACAGGGTGTTCGGCCACCCTTGGAAAAAATTTGAATGGGAGACACTAGAGACTAAAGTAAAACGAAAATCAAGAATATCAATTTCTGGATTGAGGCTTCGTTAAAAAGTTATTAAAATATTAAATTAAAAAATTTCAAATCACTCACGGAATAATTATTTTCGTTTGCGGGGGTCAATTACAACCATTTTTGGTGAATACACATACCCCTGAATTCCTACCCATTTTCGAGAAAAAAATTCGAGTAGATGCTAAAATTTTTAGACGAAATTAAAAAATTTCAAATGATACTAAAAAATTATATTTAGTTACAGGGGTCAATTACAAGCATTTTTGGTGAATACACATATCCCTGAAATCCTACCCACTTTTGAGAAAAAAATTCGGGTAGGTGCTGAAATTTTTCGGCAAAAAAAAATTTTCAAATCGATTTAAAAATTTATTTTCAGTTGTAGGGGTGGATTACAATCATTTTTGGTTATTACACATACTCGCGAAATCCTAAGCATTTTCGAGAAAAAAATTCGTTACCGAAAATCAATGTAAGACTCTGAAATGCTTCCCCGAAATTTTATGCGTATCTTTAAAATGTCATAACTTGTGAACGGATTGGGGGATTTTAATGTTTCAAAAGGCGAACAACGCGTATTTTGGTGAAGAATATGTAGAAATTCTAGCAATATTAAAAAAGTTGTTCCTTGACCCCATAAAGTTAGAAAAACCCCACAAAAATGGTCCAATTTTCAAACGACCATAACTCCTATAATAGTGAACGAATCTCATTGAAATTTAGTAGACAAGTAGAACTCATGGATACCTACAAAAAAGTATTAAACAACTTTTCTGTACAGCGCCAACCAAATTTATTAAAAATAAAAAACGAATTTTTAAGAAAAATAGGCAGGGTGCCTAAATTTTTCAACGAAAAAAAAAATTTTAAATCGTTCTGGAAAAATTATTGTTAGCTAGGGGGATTAATTACAATAATTTTTGGTCAGTAGACATACCCCCGAAATCCTACCCACTTTCGAGAAAAAAATTCGAGTAGATATGATATTTTTCGGTAGAAAAAAAAAGTTATAAATCGTTCTGGAAAAAATTATTTCCGTTTGCGGGGATCAATTACAATCATTTTTGGTGAATAGACATACCCCTGAATTGCTGCGCATTTTCGAGAAAAAAATTCAGTCCGGGCGGAACTTGAAACGTTAATAACTTTTTAACGAAGCTTCCATCAACAAATTAGTATTCTTGATTTTCGTCTTATTTTAGCCTCTAGAATCTCCCATTAAAATTTTTCCCAGGGGTGGCCGAACATCCTGTATAATGAAAATGCGGTTTAGAATAAAGTTGGCTGGTTAAAAATACAATTAACGTCTCTGTGGGTAAGAAAACGAAACTACTTTCCGAACAACCCAATAGTATCTTTTGCTATTAACCGTTCGATTATGCTGTAAAAGGTTGTAACAATGTAATCGATTTGGCGTGGCATATTTTTTAATGGAAAACTATTTGAACGGTGAATTAAATTTTCGCGGCGAGGCGCATAATTCAGGATCGTGTCGGGTTAATCGCGATGGTTCAGGAACGAAGAACCGTGGGTTTGTTGATCCCGCGACGGAGAGCTTAACGGAAAGGTCGTAGGTTTGTAGTATAAGCGCGATCGTCGGGCCGCATAATGAGCGGATAAGCCTTCTGATGTAGTCGTGGTAGAACATCGCCAGACTGAATATAGCTCAAGCTTCGTAGTCCTCTGTTCCTGTTCCATCTCTGTTATCGACTCTTCCTCTGTTATTTTCTATCTTTGTCAGCGGTGGTGCATCAAGATGAAACCAGTCTCGTTGTAATAAAATTTCGAGGACTAAAAACGGATTAAGACTGCGCTTTGATGCGTCTTCTAACGCAATGCTATCACTTTACATTTTATATTGTGTTCTCGTTGCATCGAAAGATGCCGAAGAAAATGTAATGGTTTTGATATTAATCACAACAAAGGGAAGAGTTCGAGAATGTTAATCGTTAATCGATAGCGTGAAACGTTTATTTTATAGCTGGGTAGGATAATGGGAGCTCGTGACGCGTTTTAATTAAATTTTAAAGTTACAGAAATTTCACGTTTATTTTTTATACAATTATCTTCTATTGTTATAGAATTATTAATCTCTATTTCAAACTGTACTTACGTTACTATTAAGTTAACTCGTTATGGAATTGATAGAAGTAGATTGCAATGGACTTATAATTACCAGCAAGCAATTATGGATGAAACATTATTCAAAATCTTATTTCCAAAGTTGATAGACTAAACGTGGTTTTAATCGCAGGATTGAACGGAATTGTCGGGGTTAATTCGGAAGGGATTAATTTAAGAAACTAAAAGACTTCTCGAGGATCCAGGGTGTACGTGACAGAACTCGCGAAAGTCTTCACACTCTTTCTTCATCCGTGTTTTCAATACCCTAGAAGAGTTAGCAGAACCTTTTGGGAATCGAGTTACTTAATAATACCGTTCGAACGTATCTACAGATCGTTTAATCTCGAAAATATTGCTTACGCGATGAATTCAATTTTCTTAATTTTACCCGATGTTTGACGATAGCGTGAAGATGAGGTATGTACACGTAGTTTGAAGTAGATGATTAGTATCGCCATCGACGATGTACTCCGTAACAAAAGTTTTAAGTTCTTATCTTCCACAGTCGTTATCGTGAACGTGCGTGACGTGAATTCCAAATGCAAACTTTAGGAAGTTGCACGTTCATTGGATAGGTGGGGCGGAGCAAGAGAGTTCTTCTCATCCAAATAATCGATCAGGGGAAAAATCTAGGCGGGTTGCTTTTTATGTCTCCCAAAGGGACGCGTAGGGTGGATAGAATGCCGGTTCACGCTAATTTTCCAGTAACTCCGTTGAATTACTTCTATGCATTCATTCGATTGGTTTATTTTATACAAAATAAACATTATGACTTATCGTTTCGTATATTCAATGGTGTCTAAACAATTATCAATTAAAATCCCTTCAAATTTGATGCATGATTTTTGGTCAATATTTTGTTCCACTTCGAAGGAGTGTATTTTATGATCAGACTGCGGATCTTTATGCGATTTATATTTTTATTAATAGAAATAATGAAATACTTTGTAGAGGGTTATCTCAACCCCTAAATATAATAATTCGTTTCTTATATTTTAACGTATTAAGCGCGTTCTGTAGTTATATGAACATTAAAATTTCCCATAAATGCATAAATATCCGCAGTCTACTTAGGATGATTTAAAAGTCGAACATGTATTTAAATCAAAACTATGAAATAAAAGAGCTCGGAAGATAAAGGAATTTAGACATATTTTGATAAACGTTAACACGATAGTTGATTATGGCGAACAGATTTGATTACTTTTACTGTATTTTGATTCGATCAATATTTTAGAATTTTGTATAGTTTAAGAACACGTTTAGGTGTATCTTGCAAGAGTATTGTTGATGTCCTCACAGTTGCGAGTTGTCGGAATTCGGGGACAATCCGTGAATCATTGAATAATCGTGTTCATTAGCCCGCCTAGTAACCGATAATTGACTATACAGTAATACACTGACAACGAAGTAAAGCTGATTATCGCTACGGACTCGTAACTCTCGCGCAACATAATATTTCGTTGGTCCGTGGCAGAAGCGGATTGAAGATTGATTCAAGCTGACGCGATTAGGGGAATATATATATATTGTGTGAGCCGTGATCACGTTAACGCTGAATTACGCCGATCCGAGAAAAGCTGCTTTCAACGAGTCTAGCGCGCGTCGAGGACGGAAACGATGTTCACCTGAACAAACTCGTTCCTCGTTAGCGAGAGAGCTCATTAAGGCTTTCATGTTCCTGCGGTCACGTTTTATGCCTAGCGTAGCAATATGAATTTAAAAGAAAAAAAGGAAAGAAAGGGACAAAGGAGGGGAGAAAAGCGTAAAATTTTCGTCGCGCAAAATGCGCGTTAAGATGCAGTCATCGATGCGCGGAGGGAGAAGGGGGGGAGGTATTTTTGTATCCACTTTTCATTCAACATGTCGTACATTCTTGTTACGCAAACTATCGAGTCGCGTCAACTTTCGATCGTGTAGGAAATAGCAGGTGCATCGTGTACCTTTTTTTTTTGTCGAGCCATTTTTCAGCATCGTTTCCTTCTTTTTTTTTTTGTTTTCATTTGTTGGCCCCCACAAAGTTCGTGGAGCCGATTTATTTAGCAAATAGGAAATATAACAACACCTATTTACCAACAATGTTCCTTAGAATGATTACAAAATTATCCCCCTTTAGATCATTCATTTAATGAATTACCATTGATTATTAAAATAATAAAAATGAAAAATATTTAATTTAAAATTTATTAATATGGCAGATAAGTGCAATGCATTTAAGATTCTTAAATAAAAATTATATTTTTTATTAATAATTTCACATTGAATAATATTTTCTCTTCAAGATACAAGTTCACCATTTTCTAATAATTGAAATTTATTTTATAATATTACAGTAATTATAATAATTATAATTATTTAATTTACATTATTAATTATATAAAATATAGTTAATAATTTTATAAATTTATTAAAACATCATACAATTGAAATTGTATGAACAATTTTAATAATTATTGCATTTTCATCTTTAGAAACATTATATTTTATTGATGAAATATGAAATCCTATTTTTTTTACGATTAAATCTATTGGTCTTCAATGATATTGAAGATATGAATGTCCTGAATTTAAAAATTTTAATTTTGATTCTAATATAATAAATTAGATTTATTTCGTTTATTAGATGTAGATAATCGATTAATTATTCCATTTAATGTTCCTATTCGATTATTAACTACATCTTTAGATGTAATTCATTCTTGAACAGTACCTTCTTCAGGAATAAAAATAGAAAACTAATTAATGAAGAGGTAAATTACTAAGAGGTAAAGTTGAACGTGGTCGCCAGATGACCAAATTACGTGCAGTTAAATCATTTGTAGGGTCTCGTACTATTAATATTTGAAAAATGAAAGATGCGTCCTAGACTGTCCGATAATAAACGATGTTTGGAATTCCAAACACCATTCCTATTCGGTACTCGGTTGAAATCAGCCTACCCGCATGAACGCGTTCGCGATACGTCGGTGCCTCGCGGACGGCGACAATAAAAAAGGGATAAAATTTTCGCGCTCACGTCGCGAACGCGAACGACGCGAAATATCGGGTGTTGTGACACAGGGATTGTACTGTATGACGCTCTGCTAATTGCGCCAGGGTGTTGTACGAGAGACAGCTTTTTATGCCGGGACTGGTAATGACATCCGCCCCGCGCAGCTGACCCTCCATTATTTCTCTCTGGTGCTGCTTTCCTATCGAACGAAATCCCCCCCTTTTCCAAGAGCGGAGAGCACCGCCGCGTATTTATCTTGCCTACCGAATTTCGAGTTTCGCGCGTCAAAGCTCCCGGCCATTCACGTCGTTTCGTCATAAATGCCGGTTTTCCATGCTCGGCAATAATTCCGTCAAACCCTTGGTCGAATATAATGAATCTCGAGACGAGAACACCGCGCAACGAGTTATGGTGTTGTTTGTCACGCGCGATTTATTCACGGAGATTTGTTTACGTACAACTTCGACCACTCGTTGTTGGAGTACACCCTATTGTGTCGGGGGGAAAGAAGGGGCGTTTGCGTCTCTGGATAATTTGGGCCGACGAATTCAATATGTCGTTGAAAATAATTAATGAACGACTTGAAAAATGATTTAAATCAAAGTTGCTATTGAAAAGAACGTGGAATCTATTTTTAAGCGCGTGGTTGAGGTTTGTACTGTGCGTCCGCGAGAACTTGACCATCCTCACTCTCGTCATTTCGTCCAATAAGACCTTGGACTCGCCAAGCTCTAGACTAAAGTGGGGAACCAACCAGACTCGCATTCCTTTCGCTAGCCATCTTCTCGCAAACGCACAGTACGCACGGAGCGATGTTTCACTCGAGTCGATAGATATATCGCGTGGATGTTCATCGAGGGAAGTAAAAAAAAATGTCAAGCGTCGAGGATTTATCGTCCAAAATAAGACGAAGAGGCACTTCTCCGGGATCTAATAAGAGCCAGCTTAGCCGTGAAATTTTATTGTATTACGAAAAAGCTTCCAGTGCTGATGGGGTGGTTTCGTCGTGCCATACGTTACTGCCACGCATGAATGCTCGTTGAACGCACGTGTGGGTGGTGCGTAATATAGGACAGTGGTATACACAACCACTGGATACCCATGTCGTAGAGAGCGAATGACGAGGGGTGGACGGATGAGCGAAATAATGGTTTTTTGGGGGGGTTGCGTTGGACGCTGAAATATGTAACTTGGCGTCGACCACGCATTACCGAGAATGAGATTTTGTATTAAAGGGTAATGCGAAATTGTCATTTAAATTCTCGTTAGAGGGCTCGTTGTGAATATTAATTTCAAACATTCGCTCATTTGTACGTGCCCCATTTTCGTAAAAATTCTACGAACGTTTTTGTGGAACGAGCCTCTCGATTCCTTGTTTTGCCTATACTAATGGACTTGTGTTTTAACGCAACTGCATCGCGATGATATTTCGCGTTCTCAAAATACAGTTTCGATTCTGTACTATTTACATCACGCGTTAATGTATTTCACAAATGTTGATACATACATATAAAAATACAATTCATCGATCCATAAGATCTTGTAAAGATTCAAAACTACGAGACACGAATTTAATTCTCCAGAAAAAATAGTAAAACAAATATAAAAATAGATGCAATACGCTGTAAATGATGTAAAGCCGTAATATGAAATTAACCGAAGATAACGTCTTGTTCTCGTGCAGATCTTCCATCGTCTTGCGCGAGAACGTGCAAAAATCCCTGGAAAATGCACGGTTATGAATCACAATAAATCGTTCCAACGTTGTCTGTTACCTGTACCGCTTTCTTGGCGTTTTTGATCACAACACCGTGACAAAGTCTCTCGATCGTTCGACCAGCGAGACCGTTCAAAGGCGATCGAACGGTGGTGGACCGTTTCATTACAGTTTTGTTCGGATCGAAGTAGCTGGGTACGTATTCGGTCGTTTCCGAGGCGATCACCAGCTTTCTGTGATCGAGGTTCCTCGTTAACGAGATCAAACGTTTCGCGCACAGGTCAACGATAGCCTCCTCGAGTATCAGTACCTGTGAATTTCTTTGGTACTGGAAAGAGGAACGGGCTTTACTCAACTGATGAAGAATTACGTTCCCCGCGGGGGGGACGGAATACCTGAGGTTTTGTCACGATTTTCTGGATCCAATCGGGCAGCGAGATCGTCGCGGTCTTGCTGAAAATCCTTTTGCTTAAGTATTTGCCATCTTTAATTTCTCGATGCACCGTGTCTTCCGATAGGACGTGAGAAGAGTACGGATTCGGGTACCGTCTGAAGAACGCTTTGCACACGGTGAGCCAACAGTACGGAAGGATCGTTATCTCCGCGCTCTCCTTCATTTACTGAAACTTGGAAAATTTCCGTCGACGTTAGAATCACTTTTACCCGTTCGGATACCGGGGTCTCAAATAGTTTTACGCGGCTGGGGGAAATCTACGCAAATACGGTCACGGGACGCGAAGTCGCAAACTTCGCCCTTCCGCAGCTTTATTCCAATCCGGTGCTATTCATACGAATCTATTGAGTTACTGACTCGTTCATTTACACTCCCCTTGCTCAGCCCCTTTCTTTCGTCCTCCCTTATTCTTGCAATTCATTAGTGAATCGTTAGGTGCTTCATCAACAATGGGAGGTCTCCTCATTAACGTAACTTCAATGATAATAACGCTTCCATGATTTTAAATACCCGTATCGTTCCGTTTGCCGCGGACAATGATCATGACTTTGTTCATAGAATTATCCACGTACGTGGAATCTTCTACTCGTTGTATGGCAGTGTCTTACTTTCCAACGTAAGGATCCATTCTTTCAGAGATTTAACCCCCTACTCCCTTAACTATGATTGTTTCCAGATTAAAATTAAGGATAGAAATTGTTCGATTGCCTCAATTATTACGATATCTAAGTATACAGGAAATTAGACAAATTTAGTGACACGGATGCAACTGAGAACTTTGGTCATACAAAACTATATTTGTTTTGTTGAAATTGTTATGCACAGTATTATGCACCTTTTGAGTAATAGTTTCGGTAATAAACTGCATAAATGCAATCGATTCTGTATACCGTGATTTCTAGACATTGAAACAAGCATTCCCGAAAATAATGATCATACGAATAACCTGAAATTATTTATTCCGCGGCAGCTGTGGTAGCTTCACTAATGTTAACATTTATGGTCCGCACGTTTCGCGGCTCATTCAATTACAAATCGTTCGTAATTATTGATTATCTCCTAATTTTACCTTCAATTCAGCATTATTTGTATGCACATCTCGTACAGGTTCGTTTACGTCGATTCATTTTGACACGAGCTTTTCCACGTTCGTGATTTTCTTTTGTTCAAAGGAAAGGGGGATCGCCGCACAGTACGCTAGATTCCATTCATAGAACGACAATCATTGACTGATTACAGTAAGAATTTCACGTAAGAAAATATTCGATAAATAATTAATACATTTATATAGCACACAGTTGTTTACAACTTAATCTATTAGAATGACAAATTAACAATAGTAAAATTGCTGTAAAAGAATTCCTAAGAAAATTCAGAAATGTAAAAGGAGAAGATTCTATTTTTGAAATAACTTCTTTCCTCGATATTATAATAATTCAAAGATATACAATGTTTTGGCCAAGTTTTGGTCCCCACAATTTTTCAGTTTTTTTCGATGGTCTGACAAACAAATATTTCCTATTGAAGTTAATCAGGATTTAACCGACAAGAAATTGCAATTGTTTAATAATTTTTAAACGAAACCAGGTATGTATTTTTAACTTCATAGTATCGGAGGCGACGTCGAAACGAATTCAACGACCTGATAAACGATAAATTTTCCTTTTGTTTTGTGTTTTAAGTTCTGAAATTGAATAAATGAGCATTCGTAATGTTTACGTTCATTTGTTTACGTCTAAGTGCGAAGTCTTGGTGCTATGTATCGCCGAATAATTTCAAATATTGTGGCAATCGATTCATTGCAATTTTTCTTTCAATGTCATCTGAAAGTCATTGTGTCGAATTTGTTTCGACGTTGCCTAGAATACTATAAAATTAAAAATACCTAATTTCATTTAAAAATATAATAATTTTATTTTTAAATTTAAGCAACTGTAGTTTCTTGTCGGTTAAATACTGATTAACTTCTATAAAAAAATATTTTTTTGGTGCTCTATCGAAAGGGGCTGAAAAGTCGTGGGGATTAATTCGTGCTTCACCCTGTACATATATATTTTCTTTCTGAATAAAATTGCAAAACAATAAAGCTGATTAAAGATTTATTAGATAATGTTCGTGTTCGACCAGTCTCGTCCTTCGGAAATTATAAATCAAGCATCTTCGTCGTGCTACGAATGAATTCTATTGTGCACCGTCTGTACAATCGTTCCTCCGTCTTCTGTTTCTCGTTCGCGTAAATTTCGCGGAGCCGCAACATTCGAAGCATCCCCGTTACCGTCGTTGTCGAACTCGAGGACGTGCAAATTCTGTCCCCCGCGGGATTGTTTCGCGTTAAGCCGAATATCTTGGCGCGGGTTCGGTGCAGCGCGATAGCAGAAGCGATTGCATCGCTGCAGATCCGTGAGAAAGCCGTAACAATTACCAGCGTCGCAGAGAAGAAGAGGCCGGGGACTCCCGGTTTCGTCGACGGTGTCTAAGCCGCGTTCATTACTGTACCGACAATCAAGCTGCTCCATGGTCAAGAGGGCGGGAAAGGAGTGACGAGGGGGCGACCGGGGTCAGTGAAGGGAGTTAGGGGTGGTTTAAGCGAGTGTAGCCACGGCGGTCAGGCTTGTAATCTGACGGCGGTGGGTCGTTCGGTTGGTCGGGGTAAAACGGTCCATTAAGACCAGGTAGCAGTTAGTGGGCATGCTATAGGAAGCAGCCAGCTTACTAATGCCAGGCCTGTGGAATCCCCGTAAGGGCCGTTACCAGGGTCAGTACCGAAGGGTGGTCTTCGCCTACGCCAAAGTTGGATTTTGTTACGTCACGTCCAGTTTCCTTTGTTTGTCCAAACGATGATACATCGCCATCGAGCTATCTCCTCTGTTCAGTTCTCATCACGATCAAACGTCGTTCAAAAGTCTACGTCCAGTTAGTCCATAATGATTTATACTAATTGTAAGTATCTATCATTGACGAACTGCCTTTCTTCTTGCAATCAAATCGGGATCATCAGATTATATGTTTGAAGCTTCTTAAATGGGGTTTTAACCCTTTCGAACCTGGATTTTCAGAGTAGTTTCTAGTTGGATTTCATTAACTCATCATTTTTTTGTAATTTTTTGTAAATTGTAAATGTACAATATAAGATATATTGAGAAAGGTTATTTTGCAATGAGTATATAGTATTAATGACTAAAAGATCTTGCAAGCTTAAGAGACATTTAACAATAGTAGGGATGATTTCGTTGCAAGTATACCTAACGCAGATTCATGCAAGAAACAAAGCAGTACTGTATTAGGCCTTTTAAACATTTCGTCTACCGTGCAAGGAGAACCAGAAAGGGTTCTTTATCACACCCCCTCTTCGAGAAGTTGCGCTCAGGCTGCAGTAGAAGGGAGGCCGTGTGGCCCTCAGGAGCTTTTTCATATTTGAATTTTAACGCTAGGTTCTTCATTTGAGAGCTTTACTCTTGACAGTCGCTGTTACGAGTAAACTCTCTAGTGGATGCAGCATTTCGAGTAAGGGTTCTTTCACATGGACACGCAGGAATCGAACATACAAGTGTCGAGACAACTGCTGCCATGGAGGTTCTCCTTTTCTCCCCTGTGTGAAAGAGTTGTTACTCTCCATAGAGTCCTCGTAGAGTAAAACTTTCGAGTGAACATCTAGCATTAACCTAGTTTGGTTTAGCATTATAAGCAAAACTCATTCAACGCTTTAATCGTAAATTAATATCTGGACTGAAGTTTCTTAGACTATGGGTCACTAATTCTAACGAGGTTATCATACAAATTTGAACAACTATATTTTGTGTTGTTTTAAAATACTAGATCATTTTATTTGTAGATGAAATATATATTTGTAGTGTAATTATTGTTACAAATTGGGTTAGTTTGTACGTGAAGAATAATTTAATTCCACGATTTTTCTTATAGTATGTGTACAAAGAATTTTTCAATATTCATTTCTACTTTCATTGTTTCTTTTCTGAGAAAAATATGTAGTCCATCTTGCCTACCACGATTTATATTTTTTTGTAAAGAACCGGACAAAATTTGGTATCAAATTCTGGTTAGGTTGCGATGTAAATAGGAAATGCATAACAAAGTTGAAAGGAAAGAATCTTCAATTTCCATTGCCTTAGAATAGTCTAACAACGGGTATTAAAAATAGTTAAACTTTACACGCGTGCAATTACGAAACTATTACTGTTTTGTGCATTATCGAGCCACTGTGGAAAGCGGTGAACCTTCTCCTTTAAAATGGTTTTTGGTTTATGTCGATCCGACTTTTCGTTTTCGAGATATCGCAATTTATGTAAAGGGGTAATTTTTTTTAATTTGAGTATCTCTGTCTCTGTCTGACGCGTCGCGTTGGGCCTCTCTCTCGCACGTGAGTTGAGACAGTCGCGTGACGCGGAAGTCGTAATATTTCCAAGAATTTACTACGCACTGTTTACTATTTGCACACGTGGCCATTGAACTCGCGACGTCTCAATGAAAAGTAAACAAACCCTTAGAACCCTTACACCTCCGAAACTAACCATACGATTGTCTTGAAACAAAAATCATAATATCTCCGGAACTAATTACGCTATCGATTTAAATGAACACTCGTTTTAAAGGGCATTTCATCCTCTATTGATTCTATTACTTATTATTATTAATGCTGTCTTCTATTTTTATTTTGGCGTTACATACCTAAAGAGGTTTCAGCAATTTCTATTGATTATACGACCGGTGCACGACAAAACTAGATTATAAATT